TGAGTGGGTGAACAGGAGCTTTCTCGCAAAAATACCTGACGGTTCTGAGTTCAATCATACATTTGTCTGCTACTGTGTATTGATGAATCCCAAACTAAGAAGAAACAGCAGCTTAATACTCTAAGGTTTTTACAGGCTTCCCAACTGGTGTCGGTCAGTAGGGGAATCTTGAGTGTACTATCCAGAGACCAATCAAGTTGGTCCTTCAGAATTTTCGATTTCTTTCCTAAACTGGAACCTATACAAAAGAATAGTTTCTTCAGTCTGGATTAGTACCTGTTTATAACAGAGATTAACAACGAAAATTGGAGAACACCTCAAATTATCTTTTCCCTAAAAAACACTAAACAAAATTTTGATCCATAAAGTAAAATCAATGTCGAGAATGACACATTTGGTCCATATCGGCTCAGTTATCACTCATGTAGAAAGTGTTTGATACATATCGAAGTCATTTTCATATGAATTTCAGCTGATAGTATATATAGTTTGAAATTATTTAAAAAAACTTTCCATTACACTACTGTTCAGTAGTTACACCAAAGAACAGTTTCGATCAAAAAATTAAGGTCGGCAGTTCATAAAAAAAATTGAACTGGAAACTGTGCATATTTTATTACTTTATTTATCTGGTAAAAATCAGTTAAAATTATTTGCACAAAGGAGACCTTCCAATGCCATTATTCATTCCAAATTCTGGTCCGTATTTTGTACTTGACCAGAATCATGATAGGGTGATTACTATTCACTTATCTGTAAAATGAGAACACACTGGTTTTCATCATTAAGCTTAATACAATTTGCAAAATTTTCATCTGTATATTTTCACTGCCTTTCAATATGAAAGTGTTTGGCGGACAAAGCAAAAAGTATTTGAAAATGATTATTTGATTAGCTTTCTTCAGATGTGCTGTTAACTGTTTTGAAGATTCACTTGATAATGTCTATCATTGGAAGTGGTCAGAAACTAGGTTTGCAGGAACGAAATTCTCATCGCTCAATTACTGTCTATATAATATCAGGTTTAAACAATTCATTTATACCGGGGTACGGTTAGTTTTAAAATAATGGTTACATCAGTGATGCTTTTACATTACTAATATCATCAAATAAGCAACTGAGTTCTAAAGTAATGTTCATCACGAACTTACATCAGTTGCAGAACTTCTAAAAACTTAGGGGCACTGGACAATTAACCCGTCCTAGTATTGGACTCCTCAGTGGTTGGGGGTCGAACTCAGGACCTTCAGGTTTCATGGTGAAAGCTTTAACCACTCATTCATTGGTTCAGAGTTTAATGGTCACCAGTTTCCTAATTCTGTCAGTCTTAGTAGTCATCCCTGAAGTGATTTTCTAACATCGCACTTGACTGTCTTGCTTAATTCCTCCTGAAGGAAGTGTTTGTGAGCACACAGGGTACTCCCGATGACATGCAGTATCTCAAGATTGAGGAGAATTACATATGACTGTGTTGCTGAGTTAACCTTTTATCCATATGTCGTTTTTGTTACGTGCCTGTTTGCATCTCACAGAATTCGAGGAAATATTACCAACTTCAAGATTCAGGTGAACGATTACACAAACTGGTAGTTAAACATTAGCTAGGATGATAAAATTGCTGGTAAATTTTGATGCAAGACAAAAGAATTAATGATACCTACCTGCTATTTGCATAACCTCCATAATCAAGGAAAACTTTTACCAGTTTCATTATCAGTTAAGCTCTGCATCACTGAGAAGGATAGTGCATACTGTAGAATATCTACGAAAACCAACTGTTAGGTATATGAATTCCATAAAGCTCCGTTTTGCACCTCAAACCTATTAAAATAGCATTCTAGTGTAGATGATCACAACTTGGATCACTGAAGGTGAAATTACGACAGACGTTAAGTCTCGGTTCTTCTGTGAGAATTCGTCAGCTTAAATGTCCTTCAGGAGGTATTTATACTTGGTTTACCATAAGAATAACTCATTGTTGGATTATGAAACATGTTTCGTTCATGACCGAACGGCAATAAGCTTCATATTTGCACATGTTATGGAGACAATATGTTCATGAACTACAAGATTTTATCTTTTCTGTACGCTAATCGTAAGTCAGAATACTCGCGAAGAAATTGAATGTTTGATGAAAACTATTCATACATCGGTATGTTTTATTTCAGTCGTTGACACAGATCAACGTGAGATGCATAGGCGATTAGAAAATGCCATTTGAAGCAAGAATGTTTGAAAATCATAGTCATTTGCGATTCTCATTTTAACATGTGATCACTTGATGAAAATAAATTTCGTCTTTTCACTAACTATTATAATGGACACCATTAAAAACTATGCATCACTAAGCTTACGGTTACTATTTTACTGATCATCCTGGAAATCTGGGCCACGTCAAGATTCAAACCAGCAACTCCCGGGCTACCAGCTTGATGTTTTACCAACTGAGCTACGAAACGCAGCTGCAGACCAGATCTTAATTTCACTTCAATCACCAAGGGTTTGGTTGGCTACCATGTGATTCTTTGATGCGTTTCTATTCATTCATTGTATTCATACTGGGGCACTGTAGCTTAGTTGGAAGAGCACTGAGCAGTAAAACCAGAGGTCGTTGGTTCAGGCTCTCCCGGGGCCCAGACGTTAATTTCATCTCCAGTCGTCATCCAATACTAGTTCAAGTTTGTCAAACCTCAACGATCTCAGATAGCCAGAGTGATGATTAAAGTATCCTGTTGCGTACCTGGAATTATACTACTATTATGAACAGATTACAGTGCTTCTGTTGTCGATTACATCAAGTGATTTTCTGTGACAGCTGACCACATCGGTAATTATTTCAAGAAAGTGAATGACAACCCGGGGATTTCCCGAAAACTGGGTCATTAAAGCAACACCAGGATTAAATTGGGTGATGCTTAAAGTGTATTCATGATGGGATTTCTGAAAATATTCATAAAAATGATCTCGAATAATCTAGTTATCACTAAATCGATTAGCTATACAAATGTTGCAGTTTAAATTATGGCAGTTTCAAGGAAGTGAACTATTTAGTGATGAAAACTCTTATGTTGTGCAGTATTATCATCTAGATCTCGAAGTATCTTGAGGGCATTCACAAGCGATTGTCCTAAGCTGAATTTTTGGGAAGCTCACATTATCATACATGTGAGTTTTAAATTCGTTAATAAAACTAAATTGGAAGGAAATACTCTTCTAGAAGGGCGTGAAACTATTCTCTGTTGTAATTTTTCTCACGTTCCACTCTTACAAAAACGCTTTATCGTTTTACTCTTATTATTTTTGAGGTTCCAAGAGACTTTAATTTGTGGAATTTGAAGATTGTTGTTCAGTAGTCTACATTATATATATATATATATATATATATATATATATATATATATATATATATATATATATAGTCATATAGTGGATTTTTGAAATGTGCTACTGAACAACATGAGTAGTCAGGAACCTCTTAAGCTGATCTTTTAATTTCGGCAGCCAGATTAGAGTGATCTAAACACTAAATGGCCACTTCACTGGTTTGGGCATAGGTCATCATTAGAGTGCAAGTTCAACTCACAGAGCCAGATATTTGACAAAACACCTTATTCTGGTCAGCTAACTTGGTTCGATTAGTATATTTTAAATAGAATGATAAATTCGCAAATGATTTACAAACTATAAGGTTCAGATTGCAATTTCTGACAGCTGAGTGATGTTTCAACTACCCAACTATGCGATCAACAGGGTTTCTGCTGAGAACCATATACCCAAGATGTGATCTCTGATTAAACAGGGCCATGAACTAACGAAATACGCCACTGAACAACTTGAGCAGTTCGAATCCACCGAGATTTATCTCTTGACTTTCGTGTTTAACTATTCATACATGGGAATAAATCATACCTAATTGTGGGAAGTTAAGGAATCCAGTAATACGGAGAACAAACCACTGAATGATTGTAAAAGTTCTTCCATCTTACTGTGGTTTTAGATACATTAGTCTTTTTTGACAATTAAGTTCTTTATTTTCCAGAAAACATACGTCAGTCAGGCTTCATCGGAGGTGCAGCAGTTAAATGGGAATGTGAAAATGACTGTAAGATATGTCTTCAGGTCTACAGTGAATGAAAATATCCGTTCCATTGGTTCTGCAGTGATTTCTTATTATTTTCCTAGACATTGTTATCACTGATTGAGCAAATCATAAAAGATTTCTTTCTAAATGACTGAATCATGAACAAAGACAACATGAAAGTCAAGAGTCAAGAGTAAACGTTCTATAAATTGGCTTTATCTACATAATTTCGTTTGAACTTACAATACCTTCACAGTATACACATAAGGACATTAGTTTTAAAGACAAACTAGCAGTTAATTTGAAGTATGGTTGCCATTTATTCTCTGATTTAAGTGCATAAATATATTTTATGAGAATTTTTTTCGTAGACAGTTAGCATAGATGAGATATTACATTAGAAATATTTAGTCTACGAGTCCTCCCCTCCTGCAAAGCTTTGCTATACGTTACATAAACTAAAATCCAAGTCTGTTGTGCCATAGAAACCCGCTGAGAGAAAATATCTTAAATTTTCTCAATGTTCAATGCTTTATTTCGACCGTCTTTTACCACGACACTTAGAGTTATACCTGCATTCATGAACAAAAGTTGTCTAAAGCCAGTAAATCAATATTTTCAGGGTTTATTTGAGCTCGTAACTACAGTTTCTTTCATCCATTTATTCTCAGCGTATGTTGTGTTCATTGTTTACACATCGATATACATACCTGCCGTTTAAACGATGGAATTACTTCTCGAGTTGGCTGGTTTAACCAATAGAATTCAGATAGTGGTTATTATCCTATCTGCAATGTGATAAATATATTTTTCATTCAGTGTCGGTTAGTATTTGACTGTGTATGCGCATGTACACTACCTTTTCTGAAGTGGTCTGATATGCATACAAGTGTGTAGTTAAATTCCTTCCTCTTTACTTGGCGCACCCACGCAGATTTTCCTTCCCATTATGGCAGCTATAAATTTAGATCGTGAACTGAACAAGTACAAAGTTGCATAATTGTCCAGCTTTTACTAAATCAAAGTTATTCCACATGATAAAATACCATACGATAATTTTGGCTTTCTGTTTAATTCTCCATTTTGTTTTCTCAGAGGGAAGAACAAAGGATTATGATAAGAATCTAGGCTCGAGAGCAGTTACAAGGCTGGTAAGATATTTTTATTTGTGTTTTTTACCGAGTTTGTGTAGAAAACATAACTGCTTGAGTTTACTTTTATGATTTTGCTTCTTTCGCGAAAGAGTATTTCACTAATGAACAAGCTAAACAAGTGATTGCGTAATGTGAAATGTACGAAGTCATGCTTATTCTAGGTACTTTCTAGTGGTTGATTTCACCTGACAGTTTATTTTATGATATATCTATTTCTGGCTACCCTTGTTGTTCACCGTAGAACTAGAGCATGGCCTTTTTTCTGAGTTTGTTGTTGTCTAGTGCTTCCTGCATATCATCAGTTTCTTTTATATCTATGGTGAATTAGCATCTTGAAGTGTACCAACCAGTTTGTATGCTTTCACTCTTAATTTGAGGCTGACTAACGTAATGTTTCATTAGCGGAGGTGTCCTATTGTGTCTTTTTAAAATCCACTTAATTGATTCAGCAGTAACCGTTTATATCATGAAATTTCCATTTCACTAGTTGGGATACTATGTAATGATAGGACGTTACACGGATGTATTCTAGGCAGAATGACACTGACAAATGAATGTTTAAATGGAGCTTCAATTCAAACTTTTGTAAATGAATTGCGTTCATGATGATGCAATATATCTGATGACGTGATGTTTCTCATGTAACTTAGCAATCTTATGATATGTACAGAATGGTTTGATATGGTGATTGCGAAGAAGTGTAGTCATACATCAGCTCAAAATTGATCTTCGAGTGACAAAAAACGGAACCAACCGTCACCGGATGCATAAATCTACATACGTTTGCGACAGTATTAGATATTTAGGATGATGTGACTAAAGAGGAAGTATTATGACCTGGCCCTCATCTAATACGTGCTTAATCAAGGTTGAAAAAAAGTCAGTATCTGTTCACATATTTATTTTTCATATGTGTAGGGCTGAAGGCTTATCTAAAGTAGAAATCTAGTTCCCGTTCATTTTTTAAACTTTAATGGACTCATTTCACTATTCACTGACACTTGATGATAAATATGCCTTGTTTAAACCATGAGCTTATAACCCAGGTTGCTGTGAAAGATTTGCGGTTGCTAAGTCTTAGAGATAAGTTAGGAAAGTATCTTTAAGGAGTTCATGATCGCTGATAACGGTTTCATTATGAGGAGCATAACTAATGCTCACTGGAATTCATGCAGATTCGGTTGTCCTGCGGAAAAAGCGATGAGGTTTGCATTTCGTATTTTAAACCTGATTAACAGGCTTCAACCAGTAGTTAACCCTGGTAACTAGATAGCTACAACAGTTAACCACTACTGATAAGTTCTAACAGTTGCTTGTAAATGTTTCGCACCACTTGGGGAATACCATCTTCCTTTTGGTTGCAGATGCGTCTCGCTAATGAGTGGCAACAAGCATCAAACCTATATGAAGCAAGACCTCCTACCGGTTGACTCGCAGTATGTAACTCTTTAAAATTACCTTTCACAACTGTGAAGAAAAACTTTTCCTTTATTTACAATGAAAGTTATGTTAGGACTTACAGAATAACATAAAAACTAACCAATCATCGTAAGCTATAGTGAATTTCACAAACAACTTCAAAAGTAATGATGGGTAGTGCCTAGCAGTAGAATCCAGGAAGTGCGTTTCTTCCTATTTGGGAGTCTTCAGACGGATATGCCCGTCAAACAGTGAGCAATGTTGTTCTCATCATGACTAACCCAGGACGAAATGACTGAAACGCCACAGAGTTATCTAGTAAGCCAGCTAGTCATGATAACCGTTTCCTTTACTAGTAACAGCATTAAAACTTCAAGGTTATTGTTATAACCGACTTGAATGAGACTAGCAGTGGAGTACACAACGCGTCTTCCGACCCATTTGGGACTCATCAACTGGGTATGCCTGCACCCTAGTGAATAATTAGCATGAATTCGTTAGAATGCAGTTGCATATCATGTTGGGATTAACTTTTGATAGAAAAGGAGTAAGATTACACTGGATAGTTGGCGGTGAGCGGTATTTGTCTAAAACTTTTTATATACCACGTGCTAAAGCCCGAATTGTGCTTTTAATTGTCACGTGATATAACTGTTTACCTTCTAATGTTACTGTCTTCATTGTGTTATCTCTGATTTGAATAATGCATGGAGCTGCTTTGGGAAATCTAATAGTTATCTTCTGCATCCAGAAGCAAAAGTACCGTAGTATAGTTTTCTATATATCTGGGATAGGTGCAGAATCATTTTTATTACATGTAATTGGTTTTGATTCGATAAACAAATGATTCTGAACCTGTTACAGATAGATACACAATTGTCCTACCCTTGTCACAAAGGAGGAGAGAAGATCCAAACTAGATAAACTATGTCTCGAAATTGTAGAGTTACCTGATATGAATATGGACATAAATTATATTCGAAACATTATTCGGTAAATGATATTGTTCCTTCACTGTATGTCATTTCTAACAGACAGACCAAAATGGAATTACAACCTACCACAGTGCCCAGGTTTTACTCCTATATTAATGACATAAGATTTATTATTCTTATGAGTAGAAGTGAATACTGTATACAGTAGTGTGGAGTTATGTCAATATTAGTATACTGTACCGATCATGAAAAAGGTAGAAGGTTCACAAATTTATCTCTATTACACAGAATGATCATATATCATATCACATCTGACCCTGATTTCTTCAGATTACAGCCGAAGGAAGTTGAATAGTATGTTCTAGTTCTTCAGTGTGAAAAATGTGCAGCTTCTGGAATATTTCCAGAGATAAATTTTCACAGGATTGAAATATGAACTTCATTAGGACCGTTGATTTAAAAACAATTAAAATGTAGTCACTCAAAACTTGACTTGGATAAACATATACCGTCCAGTACTACTGTAGCATCTATTAGTCAACCACGCATTAAATCAGGAAGGCTACCGTCTGACAAAATAGACAGTTCAATTACAACCCAATGATTTTCAAGGTTGATGAAAATATTGGCCTAATTGTAGCACTCATATCAGTAACATCCCTTCTATACGGACTTGCTTTCTTAGACTTATTTATTTAGGAAAAAAGAGTTACATAAGAAATAACACTCACTGAGTTCGAAAAAGTGCGCAACAACATACCATGCAAATTTTGTTTTCATTTAGAACTTGTGCTCTATAAGGGATTTAATGCGTCTGGCTTTGTCCCACATATTTTTCAATTACCAAAAATAGAATCATAAACCCTTCAAGGTTCAGTGTTTTCCTATAAGTACGTAAATTGTTAAAAGATAAACACAGTCCCATTTTGATCCTCTTGTCTTGCCTAAACTTGCTGAAGTTATCACAGTGCATCAGAGTAGTCAGTTAACGAGGGTACGAAAATGTTCTTGCAATTGAAAGACGTAAAGATTATGAGAGAAAATATTCGACAAAAATCTCGAAATACTGCTAGTTTAATCGCAAGTATCACATGACGTGTAGTGAGAAGAAATAGGAATAAAATATTTTCGCAACAGTGTGAATGATTATTTGGCGGAAAGAACATTCTTTTATTCACTACAAGATAAATATACTGGGTACTTGTAACTAGTTTTAGTAGGGTTTAAAAAATCCGAATGGATATCTAGAATAAAATACGATGTGATTCGTACTTCCTCATTCAGATTATGCATCGTATCAGATCCACCAAAGTGGGAAAACTTACGAAAATGGATCTCTCAGCTTTGGTTGCAATATAATCGTTTCCGAATCATGTAGATACTCAAAACCGGAATTAGGTATTAGACAGAATACACTGTATAATACTACTATTTACCGTAGTTAAGAGTTATTCGTTAGAATGTAAGGTGATAGTTGGGAGATTCGCACCTTTATAGTCAAGTCCAAGTTTGAGTGGTTCAACCATTTTCACTGTAACAGGCTGGTAATGCTGAGATAGGGCATTATAGGATATAGCAGATATTCATCACTCAATCGTGTTCAGTATTCCCTACCTGATGTTGACTCATGGCGTCGAAAATCTCATAGAAAGCGTTCATCAATATAGTATGAATTTTGTTGACTACACTTATAATTGTAAATCAGCTGCAGAAACTAAATGAACATTTTTCTTTATTATTCTATGACATTCAACATACAAAATATGCTGTTCCCATGGCGACTCTTTGGAATTTCAGCATCTCTCAGCTGGCTGGACATGCATCCACATTCCTAACTTTCAATGTATTACTGGTGTGATTCATTAATTCCTTGAAATTAAAAGTAAATGTTTGTAGCAAGCTTAGGAATATTCTGACAGACATGCTGTATTAGAATGTACAGACAGAAACATCTATAAAGGAAACTCACTTCTTGAAATGCAGATATCCACAACTTCCAGGTTGTATCTTGTAATAGAACCATTGATAACAACTTAGTGTCTACTAAACAGAAGAAAATCTGCTAGTTATTTCACCATGAAACCAACTGGATAATCACCTAACATCCAACTTAATGACGTAGAATATAAACATGCAGGAGGATTAGCAGTTAGCCGTTTAGTTCTTAGGGAATACCGTCACTTGATCGGCTTAAAATATGGGGACCTACAATAACCGTATTTTGAAGTACATTTGATGTAATACGTCCATCACATACGTTTGTAAATTGTAAAGTGTAATATGGCGAAGGTGAATTTTAATAATAGTTCTCCCTATTTATTAGTGCGGTATGGAAGGAGAAGATTGTATGGCTGACTTCAACTGTTGTGAAGAATACGAATGTGGTCCACAGTGTAAGTGATTTTTCATTCGAATATTGAGGTTTTTCTTGTGCGTACAAAAAATATTTGTCCATTTTATACAAGTTTCTTATTTGTCTCATTCAGATGATTTGGAATATGTGAATATGCCTCGTTTGATAGACTGAGAAGAAATTCGATACACTCATTTTTAGTGTAGCCAGTTTATGAACTCGGATATAATTCAGATTCTTTGCCTCCCGTAGTCGTTAACTCTCAATAAACTTTTATATTCATTCCATTTTTTAAAAGAAATAGTGTTTGTGTTTTAATTAGTGTGTGATACTTTTGGTGCTACTGGAGAAACCAAACCATCGGTCATTTAAGCGAATACTACTGTTGTATAGACTTCCTTGTTCCTTACTTAAATGCAGTAAACATTTTTCATAAATGGTGGCATAACTGTGAACCTTGATGATAATACTGCTAATATTCATGTGCTAAATTGTTGTTAAGAAAGTTAATGAAATCACTGGAAAATTATTTTGAAAAGAAGTGATTTGAATGGAACAAATGAAAGTTAGATCTTGTCTATGATTGTATTGAATAAAATGACCTTTTTCACCTGATTCAAGACGCTTTATTATCATTATTGAATTCAAAGAGAACTTTTGAATATTGACAGACTGCTTGAGTTTCTTAGATGCATCCCTTATCTTCGATGAATATTTAGTTGTGATGAAAAGGAATTTTTTCTACATTATGCATTTCGTAACTCATGAAGCATTTCGGAAAATACTAGCCTACACTTAATAGGTCGGTAAAACTGTAGTTAATTGTTTTTTTTCGCGACCAACAATGTATTTCTTGTAGCATTTTAACCGACAACCTCTAGGTCTTTTAAAATTTTGATATCTTACTTAGAAGACTATTGAAATTCATAAAAGGGACTAACTGCTTCAAACTTCTGAAATTTATGTAAGGTTATATACATATTTATGCAATTCGGTGCATTTTATGATTTACGAGGTCTAGACGGTTTCACAGCGAATCACAGCCCACCGAACATATTTTTGAAGACAGTTCAGATCATAGACTGAGATCAGCTGTGGGGCTATTTACTGCAGGATTTCACTGCACTGCTTATTTGTGAGTACATTCAACTTTACTTAGAAACTAGGTGAGTGTGGCATTGCTGCAAAACATTTATCAGCAAACCAGTGAGTTGGAATTCACAGGATGATGTAACTGAATGATATTTTCTCATTAGAAATATTCTTCAGAATATGAGCATGGTTTCTGTAATACAGCCTTCTGAAGAGATATGGAGAAGTTAATTATCAATAAAAAAATTACTGAATTCAGGATAACTGAAGTTCTCAACCTCCCGATTTACTAACATGAAGCTTTATCGATTGAAATACTGTACACAAGTGTTAACCATGTCCTAAGTTCACTCACGAAGTGTATTGTTTCACTGTCACGTTAGTGTATGAAGTTCATCTATCTGTTCATCGTAACAGTGGCTGCCAAGATAGATTTTCTCGAATTCCTCATCTAGGGACTAGTGGTTTGAATGCGAATGTGACTAAAATTTATAATCATCACAATTATACATTGCGCTGGGTTTGTAATCCAAGACTAACTTAATCTGTTTTACCAGCAGTCACAGCATATATTCGACTCATTTCATTTTGCTTTTTAACAGATGTGATTCTTAAGAAGACTAAAACTTCCGATAAAGTTCTGGTTCAACAGCTTCATTATAAAAGATATTTCACTAATACCTGTCATACAGAACTTTCAGTGTGAATTAGAGATAGATAATTAAAAATAACTACCGATAGATATCACTTGCATATTGGTGATGTAAGCGAAGAGGTATTGAGCCACATGTTTACGATAAAAAATCACGATAAAACATCTAATGTAACCATAAGGGAATGTGTAACATATTGTAACATTGATACAGCATTTCAGTAGATATGAAACAAATTATTAGTACTCTCCCTTTCCCTAAGAAGACCTCTACTTCATAATCAGAAAGCAAGACGAAACCATTTAAGATAACCTACTTTGCTTCATAACTCGTCGCCATCCACTACGGGACATTTTCTCCGTCTGACTCTTTGAAGGTATTGCGAAAGCTTTTTGAGTCTTAAAAACTGTATGTGAATATATAATACAACTGGGAGATACTTAAATGCTAAAATAAAAGAACCTTAAATAAGTTTAATGTCATATATGAGGTGGAAAACTCAGCTGCTTGACGATTTGATCCGAACATATATATATGTATACTTGAGTAACTCACAACTGTGTATTATGGCTAGAGAACGGACATCAGCATACGTCTTCGTGGAACCTTTTCACTAAAATATCAGAAGTAGAAGAAAAATCTCAGACTTCCTGTCGATAAGGGCTTTTTGTAAGTCTAAAAAACCTAGAAATCTGCAGTTTGTTGCGACTGAATCTAAGTGCAGTATTTTATTTCAGTATTAGTCATTATTAGGTGGTGAGTTACTTCAAATAGTATATGAATGTGCATTGTTAGTGTAATGCTTCATCGAATTATGCACACTTCTCAGTGCTTGTAAACTAAACTTAAAATTAGCTAAATTATAAAATGTTTTTGAAGTGATATCTACTTCATCACGCAAATTGATTTCATTATTGACATTTTTTGACTTTATTTATTCCTTTGGGTCACCTGCAACGTGATTGCTGAGACATTCTTGACTTTGCATACGTTGCCTCGAGTGTGAGCGAAAGTTGGACAACAATGTTGGATATTTGATTTATAAACTTTTACAGAAAAAAACAAAGGAAAAAGATGCCTGCTTATCACCGCTTCACTTAATCTCTTAACCGTAAGGCTCTAAAGCTTCTTTAGCAAAAGTTTAATTCAGCGGTAAGAGATAAATTAAAATGAAATAGGATTCTAATGGTGCTTGAAAATTGAATTACACAGCTCTTGGCAAAGACAGTAACCTAAAGACTACTTTATTTTAATTACTTTTACCTGGTATAATTAAACACTGACAAATATTTTAATAAATGTAATATTTTCTGAACGCTAGCATTTATTAACATTAGTGAGTAACTATGAATCTGGACTGAATACGGATATTTAGGCAAGTTACTTACGGTGATAATTTATGACGATAAGACAGCCAGAGTGTAGTAAAGTTAGATCCTGTTCCTCTGTGTCCACTGGATTCCTATCAGCTTCACTTACGAATACTGTCCATAGACATTTTGTATATTTGCATCATTCCATGGATCCAATGCTTAACATTAAGTTCTAGATAGGTAAATCAGTAACGCACTCACTGGTAACCAGTTCGTGTGCATAATCCAGTCCCATTGCAGCTCATCTGTAACCTGAATAGATCAACGTCTAAGTTTCTGACTTAAACTCCTAATGATGTAAGTTGGAACCACGTATCGGACAGCAGTTTCCTCATGTCACCAAGCACGCAACTGAAGTCAGGCAAGGCTTCCTGCCGACTGACTCCCAAAATCAAAGTCTTAAATGCAGTGCACTACAGCGTCATGCCATTTGCTTGGTGTCAACCATGTGACATTTGACTAATAGACTTTGGTCAGCGCTGATCACCAGAGAAAGAACGGCTATGTTTGTTTCCTATTGATGACATAGAAATGAAATTTTATTGGAAATTGGATAAAAATGGACAACACTGAACACTGAGTTGTATATAATGATAAATAACATTAAGGACGAATCCTTATCAACAGGATATAAGGACAAGTAGGGGTTGGCATTAGGTATGATGTTGACATATTGGAAAAGAGAACACGGTGGTCTGGGACGAGGTCAAAGATCGCAAGGAGAGAGGAGGTTAGACAAGTCTACTTTGCATGCAAAGTTACTGATTCTCCATCTGAATAACTAGAGCTTCTGTGATACGAATAAGGCAACTAAATACTGCCTTTCCCAAGGCTCTTCCCACCCCACTGATAAGTATGAATGATCAAACTGCTTAGATTGCATGGTTAGTACTGAAAACTTGCCTCATGACTGGAGTCTTTACAGATCAACTTCCTCTTCTTTCTCATCATCATAAATACAAAATATAGTTCTCGAATTCTCTTAAAAAGCACATACAAAGAACAACTGATCTGCTTAGCTTCATAGAAGCAGGTGTACTGATAAACACAAATATAGGTGACTAGAAGCGAATCCTTATCTTTCCAATATCCCGAATTTGTTAGTAGATGAATGTATATATCTTCCTGAAGGTTTGGAATAATGATAACAAAGGTCTATAGGATGTGTTGCAGCATAAAAAACTAATATGGCGAGGTTGCAACTCTTTTGTAAATAAATGAAAAAACTTAAAGAAAGTAATCTGAAGAACGCTCTTCAGCTCTGAATCTTCGTGTTTGGCATTGCATTTTTAGAGCCAATGTAAAGAAATTCACCAATATAGGCTTTCTGTTTGTCGGTATTCATCGAGAAGAAATAAGTTTACCTGCAAAACGCCTACTTTTTTAAAATACGACGTAAACCCATGCAGATTAGGGCGGCTGTTAAAGCTACTGAAGCCACCCTCAACGGTTATATGACAGCGTTATGCACCCAAACGTCTCGGGATAGAAATCAGTGTTGTTATTTAGTCCTCAAATAAATAAGGCATTGATTGGATCTGTTACCCCATGGTTACTTTTTATATTCCCATCTGTTTGAATAAAGAACAAGAGGATTTTTTGTAAAAGTCAGTCTGCACATGGGCTAAGCTAGTCTGTTATATGTGACATAGATGAGTGTTGTAAAATTAATTTGGTGGTATTCGGCGACTTGTTATGATCTATGCTTTCTCTTCTTAAGTGTGTTGGACCGTACATTTGATTCCGTGCAACTAAATTCTATATGAAGTGGTAATAATGTCAAATGTGTTTTGAAGCACATCTCTAACAAATAAAAGTGATTAATCAAATATATATATATATATATATATATATATATATATATCGAAAGAAAGTTGTACCTCATCAGCGATTCAAATCCAAGTTCATTCCTTCTATGGGTAAACATTGTATCAACAAGCCATTTAAGTCATAAGTGACTCCTTACAGGACAGAAGTATTTACACAAAGCAAAAATCAGATTTCTACAGATAAATTTGTCACATTGTGTGCTAAATATTGATCGAAGACATCAGAAAAAGTTTTTGAATCTGTCACTCATTGATTTAGGTGGTCATGAATAGTAGGTTAGAATATTGTTTCACTTATTTGGTCTGAGAAGTCGAGTCTAATCATTGGTTCTCACGCAATAATGTATCTAAGAATGTAATGCAAACGCGTAGATACTAGGATAGTCTGTTGATTTCGCTTCATAATCACTAAGCTACTTTATGGAGTATTCTAAACGCTGTATTTTTTATTTCAGATGGTAGAAACTTGAGTTTCCGTAAATGTACAGATATTCTTTGTTGATTAGTCTCAAGAAGTGTGTAGACTAAGTGAACCAGAGTTTCTTATCAACCGATTGGCAGTACCTAATGGCAAAAATATATTGAACTGAGGTTCTGTGTCATTTAAATCATTAGCCATGCAGAAACCTGACCTTGTGACTTAGATCAGCACCCAATGTATAGGTTTTGGTAGCTAATTTGATTAGTTTTATGAGTTCGCAGACTACTGTACTACTCGAGAACAGCAACTGAATTTCATCAGTTAGTGAAAAATCTTTGAATTATTCAGTCTGGTACTGGATACGCCTCTAGTTCGTTGAATTCAGTTAATTGTGTACATTCTTATAACACTGTTTTATGATAGATGTTCAGGAATAATCTTACTTTGCAGTAAAGCATTGACTATTTATCATATACAGATGTAAAAGTGAATCTTGGCCTGTCTATTCTTGTATAAATTAAAGTTGTCATGTGGTACTGTATACATTTATTCTTTAATTTAGTACAATGTCGGCTTAAGGATAGTGGAAATGAGATTTTTGGATCACCACGAAAGTTGTGTGTAGCCGATTACGATTGTCCGCCTGGATGGTGTTGCGAAGGCAGACTGTACGCACGTCAATGCAAACAAAACTGTAGAAGAATAACTGAACCAAACGTTGTTCCAGCTGGAAGTTATTATGGTCGACAGTTTTGGAATTTATGGGCACACAAGCGTCATATGGATCATCTTCGTTACTAACAAGTGATAAGAAAATTCTGGAAAAAGCAATTTATTTGTTTATTTATTTATCATCTAACATATATCCAAGAATAAAGCACGTGCAAACATGGTTGTGATAAATATGAATGGTTGTGATATAACCGGTTGTGACTATTCTTTATTCGCTTTTATTTTACAAGAAAGCTTAAATTTATGCCTACATGTTGACCAATAATAGTGTTATCACTAAATTACACGTTGTTCTTATTATATGCATTTGTCCTTGTAGTTAAAAATTATTCGTGGGAATTATTGTCTATTAGAGGGTCCTCTGATATAATTCATGATGAGATAGGACGTGAACCCTGCAGACTTCCCTAATACTTTGGTGCTAATCTCTGGTGGAACCTTCATATCCAAATGTGCTAACTTAACATTTTGTCTCTGCTTTGAACAGTGGTTCGAAATCTATCTTTTGATAGTCTGAACTATATCACCTTGTAGGTGTTCATCCTTCTTTTTAAAGATCATCATCTGATTAGAGATAAGTTTAGGTTGACCAAAGACAATTTCATTTTTTACTTCAAAGTTTTTCACTTTGTTCTACTACACAAATATCCATACTTATCTTTTCTAACTAATACGATGAGAAATGAACCTGTGAGCCTATCCATAACGATTATTTGTACAGAAACGAACACATGAAATATCTACTTTTCATTACTTGATTATCTTTGAGACAGTGCACTTTATTTTTCAAATTAGTTTAAGGCATAAAATAAATTCAGAAAGGCTTAAGTAGACTAACTATGATATCTAAAGTGTTCTTTGTTCAGGATAAAACAAGTAGTGTACCAGTTATTTGAGCAACGCTGTCAGCAATAGCAAGCAAGATGTTGCAGTATTTAGCAATAACAAAGCTAACTGCATTTTTGAATTTATCAAGTTCATGTCAGATGGTGGTTATAGATTATGCTTGATCAAGTAGTATGTTTGAAACTGATCCATTTTTATCTAAAGCTCTGAAATGTGTTAGGTCAGGCCTAAGTATTAGGTCATATTTACCGAAATAGTGTATCCTTTTTCACATTTTAGTTTAAGGAATGTTTGTACAAACAGAGGCACGATCAACTTAAAGCTACAATTTTCATGTAGATCGTGGTTAATTAGTGTAGTTTAAATACATCTACTACCATTAGTCGACTGAAGAAATGTAAACTGTTTACCTATACTGAATAACTGAGCCTTATAGATCAGAGTTCAACTACACTTAGTTCCTATTATAAAATCAGAAACCGAAAATCCATTGCGTGAAGTTTTTTCGAGAAATTTATCTTTAGAATACATATTTGGTAAAGTGTATTCTACGAAGGGATTGGCGAAAACAAAAATGATAATAATCATAAGCATAATCACGCTAATTGTATCACTCAAAGATATGACAGATGAATGACAATTAAAGGGGTAACATGATGTATACTTAAACGTCTAACCATGTCAAACAGTAAACAGTAAATCTGAAAGCTGATTTAGACAATCGGTTGACACTTAGTGTTCAAATGACTGAAAAAAGCACGCAAATCGAATTCTTACAGTTTTAAAGAGGACTTCATTCATGAATATCGAATATAAAGGATGTACCACCACACAACTGCCAAACATTCAATAGTATGCGGTGATCAGTAAAATGTTTTTTGCTTCTAACCGGCTATTCATCTCCTCCAGTTGTTGGCTGACTGAAGGAGGCAAACGAACAGACTACCTCTGTGGGCTGCATTATAGTATTACAATCAGTTTACTTAATAAACTGAAACTAATTATTATTTATATTATTATTAGTCCCGTGGGTTCCTAATGGAACATACCGATTCAGTAGCACGTCTCCAGTGAACTCTGTTCTCTGAAATCTTTTGAACCTGGTGCCACGACAGCCCACAAGCTCTCATTTCCTCCTCGCACGATCTCCTCCATGTCACCCTCACCTCGGACACCCAACTCGTCTCTTCCCATGGGGATTCCACTCGAGTACCTGGCCTGACGCGTGATGTCCCCAGTCGGCCTTCTCAGTGCATGCCCAATCCATCTCCACTTCTTCCTGCATATTTGTTGAGCGATAGCTTCTTGGTTGGTTCCTTCCAAGAGCTCCTTGTTCCTTATTCTGACTATTCTGGCCATCTGATCTTCAGTAAGGAGCCAGCGTAGGCAGTTGTTTATGAATGTCTATAGTTTATTGAAAACCCCTTTCGTAACGCGCCAGGTCTCTGAACCATACAGAAGCACTGACTTCACGTTGGTGTTGAAAATCCGGATCTTGTTCCATATGCTGAGTGCAGAAGATCTCCACACTGGTTTCAGGCTAATGAACGCCTGTCTCGCTGTCTTTTCCGATTCTGACTTTTACATCCTCGTCTGTGCCTGTGCCGCCTGTAGTTGAAACAGTGCAGCCTAGATAGGTGAAGGAGGTTACTTCCTTTAAGTTTCTCCCGTTGATGGTGACTGGAGTTTGTTGTTGTTGGTGGTGCGGTATCTTCATCATCTCTGTCTTCTCTATATTCACTTGAAGTCCTGTCTTCGATGCCTCTCCTGTCAACTTGTTGGTTTTCGTCTGTAGATCTTCATGTTTGTGTGACATCAGGCACAAGTCATCGGCGAAATCCAGATCTTCTAGGTTCTTTTCCGCAGTCCAGCGTATCCCCTTCTTCTCGCTCCCCACTGTTTGTTGCATGATCCAGTCGACCACAATCAGGAATATCATAGGGGATAGTAGACAGCCTTGTTTCACTCCTGTCTTCACTTCAAAATCATCACTGAGCTTCCCATTGTGAACTACTTGGCATGTAGCATGCGTCTTCATATAGTTGTTGAATGAGATTAATAAAGGTTTGTGGTATTCCGTAGTGCTGAAGTAACTGCCAAATTACTTCTCGTTCGACGCTGTCAAAGGCCTTATCAAAGCCGATGAAGCTGAGGTGAAGATCTAGTTGAGCACCATTCTATACTCTGTTCTATGATGATGCAAAGCGTTGCAATTTGGTCCACACATGATTTACACTTCCTGAATCCAGCTAGCCAGCCTGTTCCCGTCGTAGTTTTGAATCCGGTGCATCCTTTAGTCTCTCCAGAATGATGCGGCTTAAGATTTTGCTTGCCTTGAGTGGACAGGAGCGTGATTCCGCGCCAGCTCTTGCAAACACTGAGGTCTCCATTCTTCGGCAGTTTGACAAGGTATCCCTTCTTCCAGTCAGTGGGCAGGTACCTTCCCTCCCTTCCACACCTTCTGAAGGAGTGGTGTGAGCATGCACGCTGTTGTCTCTGTGTCTGTTCTCAGTGCTTCTGGCGGGATCCCATCTGGTCCTGCTGCCTTCCCACATTTCAGTAGCTTTGTGGCCTTCAAGACTCCGACTTTCGTCGGAGGGTTTGTGTTCACTTGTAGTTCTGTGGCTGGGCTGCAGGTGGTATTTCTGAACGAAGTGCAGGTGGTGCTGGTGGTTGATTCAAGAGCTTCTTGAAGTGGTCAGCCCATCGCTTCCTTTGTTTCTCTTTTCTCCTCATTAGATTTCCTTCATCATCTTTTATTGGTTTCATCTGTGTTGATCTCTTCCCTCCCAGATAGTGAGCTGGTTATTTGATATAATGTTGTCAGGTCTCTATCTCTCCCACCTACAGCCTGTTCTGCTTCACTTGCCAGTGTGTCGTAGAAGTGTCTCTTGTCTTTGCGCGCACTCTTCTTCACTTCTTTGTCCAGTGTAGTGTTTTATACATTGTACTCACTTCCTCTTCTCGTTATGCATCCTTACACTGTACTGGTTTGTCTTCTGCTTCACCATCCTCCTCTCCCTGCTCTATCAGCTTCCAGGTGTCCATCGAGATCCATTCCTTATCTTCTTTCTTCTTCCTTTGTAATACGGCTGTGTAGGTTTCTTTCCACATCTCTTTCAAAGACTTCCAGTGTTATTCCACACAGGTTTCTTCACGGATGTTGCTCGATGTCTCCCATTTTGTCTTGATGGTTGACGTGAAGATTTCCTTTGTAGTTTCATACTTCAGTTTCCGAGTGTTGTACTTGAATTGAGGTCTATCACCAGCTTTTTTGAAGGCTTTTAACTTGATTTGGAAGGTTCCTTGCACTAGATAGTGGGTTGTGTGAACCTACATCTGCTCCTCTTCTTCTTCACCTTGTGTTCAGTAGGCTGCATCTCCCTTTTCTTGAGATTGAGATAAGGTCGATTTGGTTTTTAGTGTGTCCATCTGGTGAAATCCATGTCACTTTGTGGATATCCTCGTGCTTGAACACACTGCCTCCAATTACCAATTCGTTGAATGCGCAGAATTTTGCAAACAATTCTCCATTCTCATTCATTTCACCTGGCACTTCTCGACCCATGATTAGTTCTCTTCCTGTGTTGTCCCCTCCCATTTTGGCATTCATGTCGCCCCACCCATTAGAATTTTGACATCGCCAACTGACGTCTTGTCCAGTGTTGATTGCAGTTGTCTGTAGAATTCCTCCTTTTTCTCTTGCTCTGCATTATTTGTAGGTGCATAGCATTGTTTGATTGTGACCTTCCTTCCTTCTGAGTTGAATCTTGCTGTCATGATCCTTGAGGAGATTGGTTCCCACTGCATGAGAGCCTTCGATGCTGTTGGGGACATCATGATAGCCACTCCAAAACTCAGTGTGCTCGTGGTTGGCGTCTGGGTGACCGGAGTAGATTATTGATTCTCCAGTTGACAGTTTGGAGAGTCCACTCCCATTCCATCTGCTTTCGCAAATTCCAAGCACTTCAATGTGATGCCGTCTCATCTCTTTTGCAATCTGAGCAGTCTTGGTATGTTCAAATATGGTGCGGACATTCCATATCCACACGTTTACTTTCGCTTTCATCGAGGAAGGCGAAGACACATCGGGCAATTGGCTTCCCGAAGGCTTTCACCAACTGGCATCATTTCGCCTCTCCGATTCCAGTGAGGAATAATTTTGTTTCTATTTTTTATATTTTGTTTGTGGTTTGAAGTTTGTTCAGCGGTTAGATTTGTTTTCCGGGTAGGGTTGCTAGCCGTATGCCCAACCTTCCCTCTTTACCCGGGTTTAGGACCGGCTAGTAACTAGTGAAGTAGTTAACCAGGCGAGGTGTAAATTTGTCAATATTGGGCAGTAGACGTATTAGAATTGCAACAAATAAAGCCCTCGTTACATCTGCGAAGGTTGAAGTCTTAGCTGCAATTTAGTCGTTGTCATAACCTCTTCTTGACATTCTTCATAGCTTCAT